TTTTTGTTTGTTTTTGTTTGTTTAGTTGTGAATAGACAAAACCTTTATTTTGTTTATTTTTATGTAGTGCTGAGGATTGAACCTAGTGCCTCACATGAGCGAGGCGAGCGCTATACCGCTGAGCCCCAGCCCCAAGGATAAGTTTGTGATTGGGCATTGTAATAAATTTTAGCTATAATGAAGGAGGCTGAAGCTGTCATTGATAAAGAAGTAGCAGTCCCTTGTGTTGGCTAAGAGAGGGTGATACTTAGTATTTTGGGGATTGTGTAGTAAACTTGTTTTTGTCTGTGTTTAGAATTATGAAATGGCCTTGTTTTTCTCTGGCTTCACTGTGGTCTCAAGATGTTGGTGTTCTGCTAGATTGTCTGTCTCCAATGAGGAGAATGATGTGGCTTAGCTCTGAGTGCCAGGCCAACTCTTAGTACCATTGGGACCTACCTGTGTCGGTCTAGTTCTTGGATATCTGGGGTTACTTTTATTCTAAGTCCCATGCTGTGTGTTAAGGGAAGAAGAGTGGCTGGCTTGTTGAACAGCCAGAGTGCTCACTTACTTCAGAAGTAGAATCTTTGAAGCAAGTGTTTCCCTGCCAAGGGAGACATACACTCTTTTCTCTATTCCACTCTGCAAAGACAAGGGGAAGAAATCTTTAGATACATGTAAGCCTTTGTTTTTGATTGTTTAAAAAAAAATAACATGCAGAAGTGCCCAGACTATAACATTTTTTTTAGGGGGGTTTGTACCAGGGATCGAATTCAGGGGCACTCAGTCACTGAGCCACATCCCCAGTCCTGTTTTATATTGTATTTAGAGACGGGGTCTCCCTGAGTTGCTTAGCACCTTGCCATTGCTGAGGCTGGCTTTTAATTCACAATTCTCCCATCTCAGCCTCCCTAGCCACTGGGATTACAGGTGTGTACCACTGCACCTGGCAGAATATAATCTTTTTTTAAAAAGTATTTTTTAGTTGTAGATGGACACAATACCTTTATTTTATTTACTTATTTTTATGTGGTGCTGAGGATTGAACCCATTGCCTCACACGAGAGCTACAACCCCAGGCCAGACCCCCCAATATAAACTTTTAATGAAACAATTTATTATAAATTTAACACTTGAGTGATCACCCAAAGACCAAGTGATTTCCACTGAAATCCTCTGAATTGAAAATCCATAGGAGGGCAGTAGGAAATGAAGTAGTTGCCTTGGAAATTAAGTGTGTGTGTGGGGGAAGCAAAATGATTTCCAAGTTCCAGAGATTCATGCAGTTATTAAGTTATCTCAAACTCAAAAGGTGGGCATAGGCTGATTCCCAAAGTGTGACTTGAGACCGGCTTTTCTGCTTTTGTGGTTATATGTTCTGTTTTTCCATTTCTAACACACTGGACTGAGCATGGGGACTTGGAAGTCCCTCAAAACCAGGTGGTCTGAGCTATAAGCTTGGATGCTATCTCAGATGAGGGTGTCTAGGTAGCACCTCTTCCCTCCATCCCATGCCCAACAAGGAGATCTGAAGGCCTCCATCCCATCGGCATTCAGCCAGTTGTGGAGGGACTAGATCGGAACCCATCCAATCCCACAGAAAAATCAGAGGGCCTGAAAGTTTCAGTCAATCAGAGGAAGGTGCGGTGGCAGCTGAAGGGCAGCTACTTTTTCCTCCAGGGAGGAGGGTCCTAAAGAATCGAGTCTTATTGCCACAAGAGTAGTTGTTCTGGATTCCTCAGAAATGCTGCCAGCCCCACTTCCATACAGTGTGTATGAGATGCCATCAACTTTTATTTATCCATCTCCTCAACCATTATCCACCCCTCCTAAGGTTAAAAAAAAAAAAAAAAGAAAAAAGTTGCATGTCTCATTCACTTGATGTTTTCTGTTACTCTCTCAGTTTGTTAATTTTATCCAAATGCCCTGGAAAGAACAGAAGTAAGATTGGTCTCTGCCTTTCAGGAACTCTTCAATGGAGGAACAATTACAAATAAATGCAGTTAATTGTGGTAAGTGTTGTGAAGAAAAAACTGAGCAGTAATCTTATATTGTAGGGAGACTATCCTAATCTGTCTTCCCTGAGAAGAAAGAACTGGGGAAGAGAAAGCTCAAAACAAATACGTTGTGCTAGAAAGTAAAAAGTATTTACAGAGTGTCAGAGGGGTTTCCACTGAGCAAACCTGGCATGAACTGAGCCTCGAAACAAATAACACTGGTTATAGATCCATTCCATAAAATAGGGAATGAGTCCAAAATGATATAATAAGCAAAAAAAAAAAAAAAAAAGAAAAGAAAGTTTGATGAAGCAGATGTTAATGTTTTTGCAAAGTAAACCAGTAATGTATCATTTCCCACCTGTTAGAATAGCCATTATCAAAAAGACAAGGGATAACCAGTGTTGGAAAAGATGTGGAGAAAATGGACCTTTGTACACTGTTGGTGGGCATGTAAATTGATACAGTCATGAGGCTGGGGTGTGGCCCAGTTGGTAGAGCAAGCAAATACATGTGAGACACTGGGTTCGATCCTCAACACCACATAAAAATAAAGGTAATGTGTCCATCTACTAGAAGAAATATTTTTTAAAAATTGGTACAGTCACTATGAAAAACAGTATGGAAATTACTCAAAAATTTTAAAAAATTGTATATATATCTACAGAAAATGAAATTAGTGTTCCTTAGGAGATGTCTGTGTCCCTTGTTCACTGCAGCATTGTTTACAATAACTAATGAAGACAACCTAAATGTCAGTGATGAGTAAAGAAAGTGTTTTATATGTGAATATAGGAGAATGAAATATTCAGTCTCAAAAATGCAATTCCTGCCCCTTTGACAGCGTGGACAAACCTCGAGGATACTGCTCTCTGGGTAGTATTATAACTTGCATCTGCACTGTTCCCCAAAGGCTTGAGTGTTGGAGGTTTGGTCCCAGTTGATGGTATTAGTGGGAGATGGTGGAAACTTGAGGGTGTGGGGGCCTAGTTGGAAGAGATCAGTGACTGGGGGCATGGATTTGAAGGGTATATTTTGTCCCTGCCCCTTCCTCTGTTTTTCTGTCACTGTGAGGTGAGCAGCTTAGCTCCACCATACCCTTTCCACATGACGCTCTGCCTTCCCACAGGCCCCCAGCAGTGGAGACCACCATGGACTGGAACCTGAAACTGAGCCAAATTAAATCTTTCCTCCTTAGGTTGTTTTTCTCAAGTATTTTGTCACTGTGAGAGAAAGCTGACTGACACAGACACTAGCTACTCAGGGTCAGTAAGCATATCTCAGGTGAGGTGACAGTGTACCACTGCTAAGCAGTTGAAAATGGGTGAGTTTTTCATAGTACCAAAGCCAGCAGTTTAACGGACACCCATATGAAGTCGGCACAGACCACACCAATTACTGCCTTCCATGTCCGCCTAGAAGGAAGAGAAACAGGATGCAGTATAACTTTTAGCCAGAAGGTGGTGCTCAATGTTCTGTTGACTGCATCATTTTCTTGATTTGTCTTCACAAATTATCCCTGGATACTAGTTGGACATTTTGCCTTTCATCAGGACCTTAATGTGCATATACTTATGGAGTGAGATATGGGCCCAAATGGAGTAGCTCAGCACTGTAGCTCCTCTTGCTGAGGCAGGGACACATCAGGTTAGGCCAATCTTGAAACCTAGAACTCCACAAGGGAAACCAGGGTGACACCTGAGTCTGGTGTCCATGGTGGTCTAGCACTTGCTTATGTTGTTATATCAACCCATATAGATAGTTGTGAGCTTATATCATTACATCTAGCTTCAATATAGTATCATAAGGCTCATTTTTGTTTTCTCACTTTTCATATCTAATTCCCTGTTCTGACAGGGACAAGCCTGGTTCCCATTTCCCTTAATATATTTACCTTGTGCATCAGTTCCCCTGTGACTAACAAACTCAACACTGTGTGTATTCTCCTCACCGTGCTTGGGTGTTGACATTCACCACTCCTTACTGCCCTTTGGGCCACAACACCCAAAGCTGGGCAGCCCTCACACCCAACTGCCTCTTCACCTGCTTGGACTCAGATCCCACTCTGGGCAATCCTGTAACACCGTCCTTGATACTGCTCAGGTTGACCTCTCATGCTGGTCTACTCCATCACTTGGACTGTCCTCTGTTAGGCACTAGTACCCTGCACTAAGGCATCCCCTGCATGAAAATCCTTTTCCTAAGACTGAGCTGGAGCTGGGGTTGTGGCTCAGCAGTAGAGTGTTCGCCTAGCATCTGCAAGGCGCTGGGTTCGATCCTCAGCACCACATAAAAGTAAATAAACAAAATAAAGGGATTGTGTCCAACTACAACTTAAAAAAAATATGAGCTGCTGCAGTGAGCCATCTTGTGGCTTTAGAACAGTAATTTTCAGAAAGGGATGAGGAAGAGCAAAATGTGTTATTTGAAACCAGGCGATTAGTTCTCTGATGGACTTTGCACAGACTAAGACGTGCTCCTTATGTTCACTGCACGCTGTCTCACATGCATAAATACTACCCACACGCAGCCAGAGAAGCACAGTTGCTCCTGTAACCCTCAGAGTGACACACATGCGATCATAAGGCCAGGCGCAAAAGGCCACACGGTTTTGAAATACATATTGAGTCCCTGCTGTGTACAAGGCGCCAGACAAGCAGGGTAAAGAAAAACACAGTTCCACTTTATGGAGCCTGCGCCCAGCCCCGCACCCTCGCGGCCTAAGTCTCAGATTCTCGGATGTACTCGTCGGTCAGGTACTGAGGCATTCTGGCAAGGATTGGTTAGCCGAGACAGCCGCCAAGTCTGAGGACTCAGTCAAGGGAGCCGCCGGATCCCTCATGCTTGCGCCTGCGCAGAGTCCAAGCCTACATATCCGGGCCAAGGACTACGTATCCCAGAAGCCCTACAGGTGGCGTTATCCGGGATCTTGAGAGCCCTTCCGGTGCGTCCTTGAGAGTTCAGCCACCGAGGAGCTATTCGCACCCTAGAAAGAAGTCCGTGCTAGGTGAGGTGGAGCGGAACTCATGGGGGTAGGAACGCGACTGGGCTGCCTCCGGAAGTGAGAGCCCCGAGGCACGTTCGTGGGATATCGTGCCCCGAGCCTCAGGCCCGTGCGTGCGTGAGGAGCGGAGAAGGGCGATTTGGGGTTCAGGTGTGATAATATGCGCTCGCGCGGGACTGTGTGCGTTCACGGCCGGGCTGGGACTCCGGGGAGGTGGGTGCGGTTGTGAGGCTGAGAACGGCGCTTGGCTGTTCGGTGTGTGTCATTGACCCGCGCAAGGTCCCTGCAGCTCTCTCAGTCTTCTCCCCTCGCAGCTGTGTCCCCGAGAGAGGAGTCAGATATTGAGCCTTAGAATAAAGGGTTCCAGAAAGGCACAGACCTAGGCTTGGGGTGGCACCGTATGGAGCTAGAAGTGTCTTTGAGACTGACTTCTGGGACTTAGGGGCGCTGTCGGGCAGCTGCGTTTTTCAGAACCGCAACATTCCCCCGCCTCTGACCTAGGAATCTGCTGTGAATTCAGATTCCAGCCTCCTCTGTCGTGTGAGGCCACGGCAGACGTGGCCCTGGAGATTTCCCAGACCTGTGCTCTAAAGAAACGCAGGATATATATATCATTCATGATTTCCTTCTTTCCCAGTCCTCCATTCCAAAACAAACGAACAACAAAAATTAAATAAATAAATAAATAAATAAGGAGGTAAAAATTTTTGTAACACATCTAACAATCTAGATCTAGTTCCAGGTGCGTTTGTTTCTTCTTTATTCAAAATATGGGGTTTGTGTTTTTAGGATGTGAAAACATTTGATTTTCTTTTGTTGAAATGTCTAGGGACCTGTTCTTGGCCTGCCTTCCCGGCAGATTGGCTGTGGATCCCCCTTCTTTTTGGTCTCCACATTCTTCCTCCTCATTTTTCAAATCATTCTTCTGCACTCAATTAACATGATAGAGAAATGCATATCATGGAATCTAATGTTAAAACTTTTTTTAAATTAAGATTAATGTTTAGGTAGAATGGCAATATTGATTTCCAAGATCCTAGCTTAAAAAAGTAAGGAAACATCAGAGATAGTTGATTGGTATCAGTCAAGTCACATGGCCTTCCTTCTGCTTTATGATTTTAAAAATTAATTTGTTCTAATTTGTTATACATGACAGCAGAATGCATCTCAATTCATAGTACACATATGGAGGACAATTTTTCATTTCTCTGGTTGTACACAAAGTAGAGTCACACCGTTCATGTCTTCATACATGTACCTAGGGTAATGATGTCCATCTCATTCCATCATCTTTTCTATCCTCATGGCCCCTCCCTTCCCCTCTCTCCTCTTTTCCCTCTCCAAAGTTCCTCTATTCCTTTTATGCTTCCCCCACCCCCATTATGGATCAGCATCCACTTATTATGGAAAATATTTGGCCTTTGGTTTTACTTCGCTTAGCATGATATTCTCCAACTCCATCCATTTACCTGCAAATGCCATGATTTTATTCTCTTTTAATGCTGAGTAATATTCCATTGTGTATATGTACCACAGTTTCTTTCTCCATTCATCTATTGAAGGGCATCTAGGTTGGTTCCACAATTAAGCTATTGTGAATTGTGATGCTATAAAAGTTAATGTGACTGTGTCGCTGTAGTATGCTGATTTTAAGTCCTTTTGGTATAAACTGAGGAGTGGGATGGCTGGTTCAAATGGTGGTTCCATTCCAAGTTTTCCAAGGATCTCCATACTGCTTTCCAGACGATTTGTAGTCCCACCAGCAATGTTTGAGTGTGCCTTTTCCCCTACATCCTTGCCAACAATTATTGTTGCGTATATTCTTTTTTTTTTTTTTTAAAGAGAGAGCGAGAGAGATAGAAAGATAGAGAGAGAATTTTTAACACTTATTTTTTAGTTTTCGGCAGACACACATTGTATGTGGTGCTGAGGATTGAACCCGGGCCGCATGCATGCCAGGCGAGTGCACTACCGCTTGAGCCACATCCCCAGCCCGCTTATATTCTTTTTTAAAATATGTTTTTTAGTTATCAATGGACCTTTATTTTATTTATTTATATGTGGTGCTGAGAATCTAACCCAGTGCCTCACACATGCTAGGCAAATTATCTACCTCTGAGCTACAACTCCAGCCCCTGTTGCTTGTATTCTTAATAACTGCTATTCTGACTGGAGTGAGATAAAATCTTAAGAGTACTTTTGATTTGCATTTCTCTAATTGCTAGAGATGTTGAACATTTTTTTTTCATATATTTGTTGATTGATTGTATATCTTCTTCTAAGAAATGTCTGTTCAGTTCCTTAGCCCATTTATTGATTTTTTTTTGTGTGTGTGTGTGTGTGTGTGTGTTAGGTTTTTTGAGTTCTTGGAGATTAGTGCTCTATCTGATATGCATGTAGTAAAAATTTGCTCCTATTCTGTAGGCTCTCTCTTCATCCCACTGATTGTTGCAAAGAAGCTTTTCAGTTTGTATCCATCCTATTTATTGATTCTTGATTTTATTTCTTGTGCTATAGGAGTCTTGTTAAGGAAGTTGGCGCCTAATCTGACATGATGAAGATGTGGGCCTACTTTTTCTTTCATATATATGTGTGTGTTTATGTATATGTGTGTGTGTGTGTGTGTGTGTATTAGTTATAGTTGGACACAATGCCTTTATTTTATTTATTTATTTTTATGTGGTACTGAGTGCCTCACACAAGCGAGGCAAGTACTCTACCACTGAGCCACACCCCAGCCCTGGGCCTACTTTTTCTTCTGTTAGGTGCAGGGTCTCTAATAGACCCATTTAATTCCTAGGTCTTTGATCCTCTTTGAGTTGTGTTTTGTGCATGGTGAGATATAGGGGCTTAATTTCATTTTTTTTCATATGGATTTCCAGTTTTCCCAGTACCATTTGTTGAAGAGGCTATCTTTTCTCCAATATATGTTTTTGGTGCCTTGGTCTAGTATGAGATAACTGTATTTATGTAGTTTGTCTCTGTGTCCTCTATTCTGTACCTTTGGTCTACTAGTCTATTTTGGTGCCAATATCATGCCATGTTTTTGTTACTATTGCTCTGTACGATAGTTTAAGGTCTGGTATGGTGATGCCACCTGCTTCACTTTTCTTGCTAATGATTGCTTTAGCTATTCTGGGTCTTATTTTTCCAGATGATTGCTTTTTCTATTTCTATAAGGAATATCTTTGGGATTTTGATTGGAATTGCATTAAATCTATACAATTCTTTTGAAGTATGGTCGTTTTCATAATATTAATTCTGCCTATCCAAGAACAAGGGAGGATCTTTCCATCTTCTAAAGTCCTCTTTAATTTCTTTCTTTAGCATTCTGTAGTTTTCATTGTAGAGGTCTTATACCTCTTTTGTTAAGTTGATTCCCAAGTATTTTTTTTTTTTGAGGCCATTGTAAATGGAATAATTTTCCTAGTTTCTCTTTCAGTGGATTTGTCACTAATGTACAAAAATGCATTATGATTTATATTGATTTTATATCCTGCTCCTTTGCTGAATTCATTTATTAGTTCTAGAAGTTTTTTGATGGAATTTTTTGGATCCTCTTAGAATCATGTAGTCAGAAAATAGTGATAGTTCTTCTTTTCCTATCCATATCCCTTTAATTTCTTTCATCTAATTGCTCTGGCTAGAGTTTCAATGATGAACAATAATCAACTTTAAATTTCATGTGAACCTCACTTATTAATGTTGGGATTTAAACACATTTTTGTAAGGAGTATGTCTTGATTCTGATTTTAGATTCTGCAGGATAGAAATCACATTTTTCAGTCAAAGGACATAGAGACTCTCCAACTCCTAGTTAGAGGAGGTAAATCTCCCTAGCCACAGGTTTTTATTCCTCTGTGTTTGAAGGGAGAAAAGGGAAGTGCCAAGGAACCCTTCTATTTTGATGAACTTCCAGGTATTCACAAATCAATTATGGCACAATTTAGTCGATAAGATAGCCCTTCAGGACTACATATTATTATAGATTTTTAAAGTGACATTCACAGGACATAGCTGTACTCTCCATATTCAGGTATGTTTTGAAGCTCCTTTATGCCAATAACATTTTATAGGACCCGTTTGTAATAGAAGAAAACAGAGTAAGATAGTGATAGCTAAAATTTTCATGAAAATATATATTCATAGGATATGAGTACAAAATTGAACCTCATAATAAAATACACTAACACCTTATTAGATCCTTTTATTTAGTACTATGTTAAAGAATGATACCTCCCTTCAGTAGTTTAAAGGACAAGGGGAGATGTCTTGGTTATCTTTCTGAGAAACTGTTTTATTAATGTTGTTAATTTAAAAGAATTGTACCTGGGCTGGGGTTGTAGCTCAGTGGCAGAGCGTTTGCCTCGCATGTATGAAGCACTGGGTTCAATTCTCAGCACTGCATACAAATAAATAAAAGTTCATCAACAACTAAACAAATTTGTTAAAAGAGTAGATGTGATACCCAGATTTTACTGTGGAAAAAAGGAAACAGTAGAAAATAATTCTATTTAAGAACAACGGAGTAAGAAACATATAATGTTCTTTATTTTAATAATGCTCCCTAACTTCTATTAAATAGTTACATGCCAGTATGTGATATAGAGATATTTCCTCAACACAACTCTCTGAGTGTGGGTGCTTACCACTAGTTTACCAGTAAGCTACCTGAGTGTGGGTGCTTACCCCTAGTTTACCAGTAGGCTACTTGAAAATGTAATAGCTGTCAGACTGAGATTCACATTCTGAAAGTCTGACAACAGAAACTGTGTTGTTAACGGCTACATTACAATATTTTCCACAATTTCTCATAGTTCCTGAATTTCCTGTATCAATCTATAAATCATAGTGAATATCATTCTCCAGTAATCAATAAGGACCAATATGAGCATACTAACAAGGTGGTAGTCTGTTATTGTAACTATAATTTGTTTAACCTGTTGCCTGCTACAGCTACTTAGATTTATAATACTTAGTTATTATAAGTTATTATATGATGAATATATCATGCATATATTTTAAAGTGCTTAAGTACCATTTCCAAAGAAGAATGTCTAAAAATGATATTTAGTCAAATTATCAGATGTAAGGGATCACAGTATGTTGGATCTTGTGGTAGTAATTAGAGGAATACAAGAAATGAAAACACAAAGTTACTACTCTTTAATTATTTTTGATATAACAAAGGATATAAAATCAGAATAGATGAATAAGTATAAGGTACAAGGTAAAAAAAAAACCACTAAAGGAATTCTGATCATATGCCTTAAGAGTTCACAAGGATAGTTGGGTGCGGTGACACACACCTGTTATCCCAGCTGCTCTGGAGGCTGATGCAGGAGGATGGCAAGTTCAAAATCAGCCTCAGCAAAAGCAAGGTGCTGAGCAACTCAGCGAGACCTTGTCTCTAAATAAAATACAAAATAGGATTGGGGATATGGCTCAGTGGTCGAGTGTCCCTGAGTTCAACCCCCAGTGCCTCCACCCCCGCCCCCCCAAAAAAAAAGAGTTCATAGGAAGGAAATGTCATTTCTCTAGTCACCAGCATTAGATTTTGACCAGATTATTCTGAACTCAGGGGAACTCTGGTGGTAACTCAATTTTATGTTGTATGCTTTTTTTTTTTTTTTCCCAGTTTTGGATGGACACAATATCTTTGTTTATGTGGTGCTGAGGATTGAACCCAGTGCCTCACACATGCTAGGCAAGCGCTGTACCAGTGAGCCACATCCCAACCCATGTTGTATGCTTTATACCACCACTGTGCAAAAGAACTTTCCATGATGATGGATTATTGTATATCTACATTGTCTGGTATGGTAGCTGTTAACTACATGTGGCTCTTAAGAACACAAAATGTGGCTAGTATGATTAAGGAACTGAAATTAGATTTAGATAGACATATGTTGCTGTGGTTATTGTATTGGATGGCACAAATCCATACCTTACAGTCTTTATTCTAATGAAGTTAGATTTAAGGTAAGACTAACAAGATTATTCAGTAGCAATTTGGAGGATGTTGTGGCAGAAAGGAGAGTTTCAGAGCCAAACTGTCAGGAATACATCTGTCAGGACTGTAAGAAAGGAAGGCTCATTGTGATCAGTGTTGACATGTATGACATGGCAGTACCTTAGTATACTAGGCAAATGTTTAGAAGTCAGGATTGGGGATGAAGTTAAGTGTTATAGCACTTGCCTAGAATCTAACTTTTGTTCTTTTTTTGCTAGGGGTACAGGAGATTGAACCCAGGGGCACTTAACTTCTGAGCCACATCACCAGTGTGTGTGTGTGTGTGTGTGTGTGTGTGTGTGTGTATGTGTATTAATATATATATAAATTAATATACATACACATCTATCTAGATAAGATTAAATATATATATTTTTTATTAGATAAGTTGTAGATGGACACAATTCTTTTATTTATTTTTATCTGATGCTGAGGATCAAACGCAGTGCCTCACATATGCTAGACAAGAGCTCTACCACAGAGCCACAACCCCAGCCCATCCCTAGTCTTTTTATTGATTGATTGATTGTGGTGCCTAGTATCAAACCCAGGGCCTTGTGCATGTGAAGCAAGCTGTCTACCAACTGAGCTATATCTCCAGCCCTTTTTTATTTTTTATTTTGAGACAGGGTCTAAGTTGTTAGAGACTCATTAAATTGCTGAGGCTGGCCTTCAAATTGTGATCCTCCTGCCTCAGCCTCCCGAGTTGCTAGGAGTACAGGAATGTAACACCGTGCCTGACTTTTCTTAGCATTCTTGAGGTCCTTCCTAGGTTCAATCCCCAGCACTGCAAAACAAAACACAGTCAGAGTTGATTGAACTATTAAGAGCTAAAGGGGAAAAAGACATTCAATAAAAACATAACTGTTTTTAAATTATTTTGAACCTTTTCTCCAAGTTCAAGAGAGAACTCTTTACAGAAAGAGGAATTTTCTCTTATCAAAATGAAATAAATACATGTATCTGCTTGTGAGTTTATTTAAAATTGTTTTTGAATTTTATGGATTATACTTAAACAAAAAGAGTATGATAATAAGTAAAGCAGTAGTATTGATATATGGCTATGTACACATTCTGGACTTTTTCTCTGTCTTGATTTTTGCCTATCTGTCTTTCACTCTGTGTGTGTGTGTGTTGTGTGGGTGTATGTTTTACAAATGTAAACTAATTTGCTCCAACATACTTTATATTTATATTTATATATTCTGATTTTTAGCCTAATTTTTTATAATATATCCTGGATATTTTCCACATCTTCTAAATATTTTCTCCAGTTTAGTAGTAGTTAACATATACTTAATATTCTGTTAATTCTGACATAACTCATACATCTTTTTTTTTTTTTTTAAAGAGAGAATTTTTTAATATTTTTTTTTTTTTTTTTTTTTTTTTTTTTTTTTTGCATACACAAAATCTTTGTTTGTATGTGGTGCTGAGGATCGAACCCGGGCCGCACGCATGCCAGGCGAGCGTGCTACCGCTTGAGCCACATCCCCAGCCCTCATACATCTTAATACACATTTGCAGTCATTTGCTTTAAACAGATCCCGGAAGTAGGTTTGCATGGCTGAAGTCTTTCATATACTTCTGTGTGCCCTATTTTAAGGTTGTGCAAACTTATAATGTCTACAAAGTAACCATTTTCCCTCCCTTGCTCATACAGCAATGTCTTTTAAAATCTTCTATTATAACAATGTAAACTGATTGTTTCTTTTTTACATTAAGAAGTGTTTCCTTAATCCTGTTGAAATTTAAGAAATGCAGTGGGTGATGTATATAGTGAATTACCAATGCTCAGATTTCACTCAAAGTAAGAAATCCTGGCAAAATCCAGCAAAAGCCATAGTTGGAAGAGAATTGACTTTATTAAAATTACACCTCTTCCTCTTACTGTGAGTTTTGGCAAGGTACTTTGCTTTGCGCTTCCTCACCTCCTCTGTTGGAGATAACTGCATCGCATGATGAAATGCTAAGGGACCAAAACGCTGAAGATCCTAAAGATGTCCCATTTTGTTCTCACTTGGCCAATGTGGTCATGAAGTCTTACCTCCCGAGGCTTGATATTGAGACGGGTATTTGTGTGTGTGTGTGTGTGTGTGTGTGTAGTCGTGACTTCATGCGGCAAAGCAAAATAGACAATCCTGATAGGAAACAGAGGTTGGTTGAAAAGAGCACAGAGGATTCTGGGGGCTGTAGTTCTGGCTGAGCAAGAACTCCGGTCAGTTTTGCAGTGGGAAACACTGCCTGCTGTTTTCTGCCTCCATGTCTCAGAATCTAGGCACACATTCAAGCCATGAATGATATTGGGGTTTGCATGGGATGGCCACATCTTAGCTCTTAGGTGAACATGGACAAAGACAGTTCGCTTAGGGACGTCATTCAGTTTCAGCTACAAATCAGCATCATCAGAAATTGGGATGGGCCAGGAGGCCCTTCTGCTGGAACGAGTGGTTTGGCGTCCTGCAGGAGGTCTGTGCAGGTAGTTCCTTTGGCCTAGGGAGGGCATGGCTTCATCCATAATTCTGCTCATCTCTCCACATTAATACGTGCAGCATGGTGGGGTTGAAAATAGAAATGAAGGAAAAACTGCTTCATATTGGCATTAAATTATTTGTGGAGTTCTGACATGTACCTACCTAGTCTCAAAGTCACTTGTTCCTCCACAGGCCTGGCTTCTCTGGACTCTGCTTCTGCAGTGGAGGGAACCCACAGAGGACTGACAAGTTCTTACAGTTCTAAAATCATGGCCCATGTAAGTTCCTGTTTCTCTTCCTTGAAATACTGTATTTTAAAATTTATGTGGTCATTTCTAAGTTTTATTTTGTAGTTCTTGGATCAAAGCCAGGAGAACTCTCACTTGCTAGTCAGACTCTCCACCACTGACCCACACTCCCCTCCCCCGTGCAGTTGTTTTATATTGTCCTGAGACTTCTTTCCTAAGATAGTCCTGTGAAGCCTGCTCCTCAGTTACTGTGACCACAGTGAGGGACGGTGCCAAACTGCCTGGTGTCCTCTTCATCTGCCCTTGTTTTCTCTTACCTGTGCTCACCTATTCATCCCTCATCTGTGTGCCTTGTCTTCTTGCAGGAGCATTGACAGAGCAGTGAAAGATGAAGTCCCTCAAGGGAAATATTTGAGCTTCTGTCATCAGATTCATGATTCTGTGAAACAGAGATGGTTCCATCCAACTTCAAAGGCCTGTTTTCCAGGTCGATGGAATATATTGTTGAGCGTGTTGCCATCCCAGATGAAGACAGATCTTATGCACTGAGAGGCTTAGAGGTCTCAGTGGAAGTGCAATGAGGGCCCGTGTTTGGGGGCTTTAGGGATCTAGTCAGGGGATTATCTAAGGGGTGGCAATAGGACAAAAGTCAGTTTAGCTCTGTGGTTGAGAATGTTGTACTGGTCTCATGACATCAGTGTCCTATAGCTCAGGAACGAGGCGGGTGTTACTGAAGGATGGGGAGGTTGTAGGCAGGAAAGTCCTCCAGATTCCCAATGATGGATGGAAATAGTCTGACGTCAACATTTTATCCAACGTAAGCCCTTAAGTATAAAAGATTAACTGACTTGTCCACAAGATGGACGTGTTTGTTTTATGTTACTCTAATGAATAGCCTAGGCTGTGTACTTTGTAAAGAAGTGGTTTATTTTGGCTTACAGTTCTGGAAGCCCATGGTCAGGGGGCCACATCTATGACCTTCTTACTGGCAGAGTCCCAAAGCATTTCAGGGAGTCACACAGCAAGACGCAGGGCACATCCATGCATGTTCATGTTCTCTGATTTCTTTCTTCTTATATAGCCACTAGTATGATCGTGGGGTCTCTACCCTGATAAGCTTATCTAATTCTAATCACTTTCCAAAGGTCCCGCCTCTGAACACCATAGTCAGATTGAGTTCCATTCTCTTTAAGGTATGGATCTCATTATGTTACCCAGGCTAGCCCCTAATTCCTGAGCTCAAGTGGACCTTCTGCTTCAGCCTCCCTCTCAGGAGGCTGGGACTACAGGCATGCAGCACTATGCCCAGATCCACCCTCTTAATACCTCATAGGGATTAAATTTCAACACATCCTTAGGGACATGCGTAAACCATACTCAATCCATAGCAGTAGATAATACGATTAACTAGCCAATAAATATATTTCCTAATGACTTTATGACATTCTCTTGTGTAAAGATGAATTTGAAGTTGATGAAATCATATAATGTCATTCACGTTCTGTTTTCTAAGAGATTTGAGAGTGCTTTTGGAGAAAAAAATGTCTTTTTCCTAATAACCTGAAGGGAGAAAAAATGAAGAAACTGATATTTATTCAGAATTTAAAATGCAGGTACAAGCAGGCAGTGTGTGCTTGCGTATGCTGTTTCATTGAATTGGGAAACGTGGATTTTTTTTTTTTTAATCATTCCCAGACCTTTGGATAATTTTGTTATCTGATGACATGCAGGACATTTTGTCTGTATCAGTAGTATTCTTTAAAAGCATATAAGCACTCAACTTCAAAAATACTAATTTCCTGGGCTGGGGTTGTAGCACAGTGGTAGAGCACTTGCCTAGCACATTTGAGGCACTGTATTTGATCCTCAGCACCACATTAAAATAAATAAATAAAGGTATTGTGTCCACCCACAAATAAAAAAATATTTTAAAAAGACTAATTTCCTTATTTTTGCAAGCTCAAGCCCCAGTTTGCTTGCTTACAATGTTGCTTCTTTCCTGCTAGTTTTTTATCTTCAAAATGCATTTTAAAAAACTTTTATAATACATGGATTTGTTATTTCAGGTGTCCTTGGCATTCAAGGATGTGGCCATAGATCTTTCTCAAGAGGAGTGGGAGTGCCTGGACACTGCTCAGAGGGACTTGTACAGGGATGTGATGTTGGAAAACTACAGCAACCTCATCTCACTGGGTAAGATACACACCCACATCATTTACAGTCTGTTTTTTGGAATATCAGCTCTCTCCACTGTTGAACTTTAGAGCTTTGTTTTAAGAAGCCAGTTGAATTTTTGCCCCTATTTCTAAAATAAGAAATGGTTTGAATATTGTGGGATGGAAATGACACCTGTGTTTCCATTCTTTATTGACACTCATTCCTCCCTCTGGCCCCTCCTGTTATTGCCTGTTTTTCTAGGTGATTTGTAGATTTGAGTTGTGTGACATTTTCAGAAACCAGGTTTCATCTAATATTTCTACAGTGGCTCTGTATTAAGGTCTGGCCCACCTGCAAGAGAACAGTTAGAATTAGGGTTCTGCTTTTTTTTAGGTTATCAAAAGAACATCTCTGGATTAAATGGTGGAGGATTGGGTTGCAAAATTCATTTAAAATCAAGCAAACACACCCTATCTGGAAGAGACATATTCTTTTTAACCTGCTTTATAGTTGAAAGTTAGTCTATGAAGTTTGCTTTTTCCATTGAAGAAATGTCTAAGGGAGAACATGTAAGTATTTTAGGAAACAGTATATTTCTCTATGCAAAATAGTAACAACAAAATAGTACAATTTCTAGGCATCCTTTTAAGCCCCTTTGTGTTTGTGTTCTCACTTCAGCCCTATGAAGTAGTGCATTTGATAAAAGTGCAACACTGGATGGTAGCTTTTCAAGGTCACACAGCTGGAATGATTGGCAGATTTGAAGCCAGCCATGGGGCTGCACAGTGTGTGCTCACGGTGCCTCTGTAGACTCCCTTTGAAAGCAAACTGGACCTTTTTCCTCTCTTACCTGGTCTCTTTAGTCCCATACTCATGGGTCCATCTTAATGTGACTGTTCCATGGCCTTTTTCTATTTTGTCTTGAAGGCTTTTTCAAATACCATTTGACCTACAGTTGATTGTGAATGTAACCAAGTCCGCATGTAGTCATTTTGAGGCTGTGGTTGGGATTTGGTGGGTTTTTTCCCTATAACATGTATCCTGTTTTTTTCTCATGAGCAGGATGTATCATTCCTAAGCCAGATGTGATTGTTTTATTGGAGCAAGAGAAAGATCCGTGGCTGGAAACGAGGGAAGAAACAAGAAGGCAGTCCTCAGGTGAGTGATGGCAGACCAGGCAGGGAGCCTACATAAGCTATGGCTCACTGGCTCAGGGAGGAGGCACGTCGCTGAAATGTTTGAAGTCTCACTTCAAAGGCCCAGATCCTGTGAAGCCTATAAAAATTAGGAAATTAGGCTCCTCTCTCTTCTGTCATGTTCCTTTTTTTTTTTTCCCCCCAGCAGTGCTCGGGATGCAAGCCCTATTACTGAGCTACATCCCCAACTCCTATAAATTTTAGAGCTGGTTGCTGGTTGCTTCCCATCTCAAGGAGTGATGCTTTCTTTATTACCCTTTGACAGCCATTTACCAGTTTCCAGGTCCTTTTTTTACATGTAGATTTATGTTAATTTCTCCATTTTTTAGAATTAATTTTAACAAGTATTTCCTATTTATCTAGTGTAAGCCACTGTACATACTGTGTTAGAGTCTAGGTACTACTGATGATTGTTCCTATTGTCATAGAGATGTTGATATCGTAGTAAGGAAAACTAAACAGACAATATCAGATTTAGATATGTATTTTGAAGAAAATTAAGCCAGATAAGGGGACAGTATTGGGACATTGTGAGGGCTACTTTAGATAAGATCAGGAAAGGCTATCCAAATTGATGAACTTTGAGCAGATATGAAATAAAGTCTCAGAATACCCTTCCTCAAAAGTCATTTGGCCTAAGCTTCTGAGGCTGGTTTGGAAACTGCTATCCTCCTGCCTCAGCCTCCTAAGCTTCTGGGATTATAGGCATGTGCCAGAGCACCTGCCAAATGTATTTTCTTAATCATATATACATGGGTACATATTTTTATGTACCCATTTTAAGTGTCAGTGTCTAATTTTTAAAAATAGTTTCATTGAAATAGAAATGAAATTTGGCATAATGTAAACTGCATATTTAAAATATAAAATTTGATAAGTTGGCATGTATATTATGAAAACATTGCAAAATTAAAATAATATCCAATTCTTGTAAAAACAATCTTCCTCATGCCATTCTCTACCCACTGCCCAGGCTCCCACTGTTCGTTGGTCTGTCACTACAGATTAGTTTGCATTTTCTAGAATTTTGTATAAATGGAATAATTTAATGATTGTTCATTTAGCCTTAGTCAGCATAATTATTTTGAAATTCATCCTTTCTAATGTTGAGAAGTATTCCTTTGAAAGGATGTATCTCAATTCATTTAGCTATTTACATGTTGATGGACATTGTGTTATTTCTAGAGTTTGTCTATTGCAAATAAAGCTTCTAGGAACATTCTTGTAAAAGTCCTTATATGGGCATATACTTTATTTACTCTTGGGTAAATATCTGGATGGAATAGGTGAATCATTTGATAAATGCATATTTAAATTTTAAAAAAACTGCAACACTTTCTGAGAGTAGTTTTGATCATTTTCCTTCCCAGCAGAAGTTTCTGGGAGTTCTGGCACCTCTGTGTTCTTGCCAGCACTTGATCAGCCTTTTTAATTTTAGCTATGCTAATAGGTGGGTAGTGGTATCATATTGTAGTTCTAATTTTCATTTCCCTAACCCTAATCATCTTGAACAACTTTTCATTGCTTAAGTTCTCATCCATTTTTCTTCTTTGGTGAAGTGTCTATTGGAATCTTTTGCCTTTTTTCTACCTGTGTTGTTTCCTTATTATTGAGTTTTCATGAACAAGTCCTTTATCCAGTATTTAGTTTATAAATGTTTTCTCTGGAATATTTTTATCTCTTGAATAGCATAAACTCTTAAGTAGAGTTTATTACTTTTCTCTTTCATTGACTATGCTTTTAGTAGCATATCTAGCAACCCTCAAGATACAAAGCTTTTCTGTTTTCTTTTAAACTTATTAGTAACACATACTAATTGTATGGATTAATGGGATTCACTGTGAAATTCCATACTTGCATATAATGTACATTGATCACACCCATCCATCCTTCTACCTTTAGCCTCTGCCACCCTTCCTAGTCCCCAGTAATCACTTTTCTACTCTCAGGTTGACTTTTTTTTCCCACATGAGAGAGAATATGTAATTCTTGTCAGATTTCTGTGTCTAGCTTATTTCACTTAACATGATGTCCTCAATTTCCATCCATTTTGCTGTGACAGAATTTTATCCTCCTTTTTGGCTGAATAATACTGCATTATCTATACGTATCATATTTTCTTTATGCATTCATCTGTCGGCGGGCACCTACACCGATTCCTTACCTTAGCTATTGTGAAAAGTGCTGCAGTAAACATGGACATGCAGGTATCTGTTTCTTATGCTGGCTTCATTTTCTTTGGTAGTGGGATAATTGGGTTGTATGGGAGTTCAATTTTTTTTTTTTTTTTTTGAGGAATCACCACAGTTTTCCACAATGACTGTATCACATATGAGTTCTTTTTCTTTATATCCTCACCAGCATTAGTTATTTAATTTTTTTGATAATAGCCATTCTAACTGGTATCTTATTGTAGTTTGATTTGCATTTCTCTAATGGCTAGATGCTGAACATTTAAAAAAAATATTTACTGATCTTTTGTATTTCCTCTTCTGAGAACTGTTCAGATGATTTGCCCATATTTTTAAACTGGATTTTTAAAGTTTTTTTAGTTATTCTTATATTCTGGATATTAACCTTGTCAGGTGAATAAATGCCAAATGTTTTCTTCTGAAGAGGTTGTTTCATCACTATAGTTTCCTTTACTGTGTGCAAGCTTTTTAGTTTGACATAATCCCATTTTTAAATTTTTGCTCATGTTTTCTGTGCTTTTGGAGTCCTATCTGGAAAATCATTGCCTATACCAGTATCTTGAAGTATTTTCCCCCCTGTGTTTCCCCAAAGTAATTTAAGTTTCAAGTCTTAAAGATTTTGAATTGATTTAGATCCTTAGATCCCTTGCTCTGTACAGAGTAAGGGATTGAAGTCTAGTTTCAATCTCTTGCTTGTGGATGTCCAGTTTTCCCAGCAACATTTGCTGAAGAGGCTGTACTTTCTCCAATGTATGTTTTGTGTAATGTTGATAATCTTATTTGTATACCTTTCTTATTTGTATACCTTTTATTTCTCTTGCCTAAGATGCATAGTTTATTTCTGAGTACTCATTCTTTCCTTTGTTTTATGTGTCTGTTTTTGTGTCCATACCATGCTGTTTAGATTACTGTAGTCCTATAACATGTATTCAAATTGGGTATTACGATGCCTCCAGTTTTGCTTTTTTGCTCAAGAATGCTTTGGCTATTTGGGGTTCTTTTGTGTTTCCATAAAAATTTTAGGATTGTCTTTTCTAATTCTGTGAAGAATATTGTTGGTATTTTGATGGCAGTTGCATTGAATCTAGAGTTGCTTTGGATAGTATGAACATTTTAACAATTATTTTAATTCATGAACATGGTAGGTCCTTCTACCTTGTGGTGTCTTCCATTTCTTCAGTGTTTTCTAATTTTCATCATAGAGGTCTTTCATTTCCTTAAATTATTCTAGGTATTTGTTGGGGGGAGGGCTATTCTGAATGGAATTGCTTTTATGACTTCTTTCTGCAAATTCATTATTGGTAAAGAAAAGTTACCGATTTTTATATTTTTTTTAAATACTATTAATATATTGGATTCATTTATCCATTCTCATAGTCTGTCTTTTGGTGCATTTTTTTAAGTTTTTTCTATGTATAGAAAAATGATATAGAATCATATTTGCAAACAGGGATAATTTGACATCTTTTCTTATTTGTATACCTTTTATTTCTCTTGCCTAATTGCTCTAAAATTTATAATACTAGTTTATTTCTAGTATATGGAATGAGAGCTGACATCCTTGTTTCTGACCTTATAGGAAATGCTTTGTTTTTTCCCCATTAGTATGTTATTAGCTATGTGTTTGTCATATATAGCCTTTGAGATATGATCTTGATGTTCCTTGTTTAAGGCTTTTATCATGAAGAGATGTTGAGTTTTAGCAAATTCTTTTCCTGCATCTTTGAGGTTTTGATTTTTATTCTTCATTCTATGTATTATTTTAACCATCCTTATATTCCTGGAATGAAACCAGTTTGATCATGGGTATGATATTTTTGTTATGCTGTTGAATTCAATTTGCTAGGATTGGTGTTAATTCTTTAAAAGTTTGATAAAATTTAGCAATAAGCCCATGTGGTCCTTTTTTTTTTTTGGAAATGATTATTGATTCATCTCTTTGCTTTTTTTTTTTTTTTTTTTTGGTAGTTGTGGATGGACAGAATGCCTTTATTTTTTTTGTGATGCTAAGGATCGAACCCAGTGCAAGTGCTCTGCCACATGGATACAGCCCCAGCCCTCAACTCATTACTTATTGGTTTAGATCAGCTGTTTTATATCATTCTATGTATATTATATTCATGGTTCGATTTTCATAGGTTCTTTGTATCCACACATTTGTCCAATTTCTTCTAGATTTTCCAACTTGTTAGCATGTAGTTTTTCAAAATAATCCCTAATTGATTTATGTGATATAGAATATAATGTTTCCTTTTGAATCTCCAGGTACTCTGATGTTTCTCTGATATTTTGTCTGGGTGAGCTATCCATTGGTAAGAATGGGATATTGAGATCCCCTACTATTATTGGAATTATTGAAGCCTATTTCTTTCCTTTTGGTATGTGCTTGTTCATAACATTGGGTGTTCTGAAATTAGGTACATTTGGACTTATAATTGTATCTTCTTGATAAATCCTTTAATCATTATATAGCAACCTTCTTTGTCTTTTTTAAAAAAACTTTTTTTAGTAGTTTTAGACAGAATGCCGTTATTGTTTATTTTTATGTAGTGCTGAGGATCAAACCCAGTACCTTATACATGCTAGGCAAGGGCTCTGCCACTGAGCTACAACCCCAGCCCCTCTGTTTATGTCTTAAAGGCTGTTTTGTTGGCTTTAAGAATAGCTACTCCTACTTGCTTTCGGATTGTTTGCTTGAAATATTATTTTCTATCTTTTCATTTTTAGCCTGTCTTTATTGGTGAAGTGTTTCTGGTAGGCAGTAGATTGTTGGATATTGTTTATTAATCCAGTCAGCCAGTCTGTGTCTTTTATTTGGAGAATTTAATGTCTTACATTATTGAAAGATATGGACTTGTGCCTGGCATTTTGTTGGTATTCTTCTAGTTTTAAATATTTCATGTTTCTTCCTTTTATTCATCTTTGTGATTTGATAATTTACTGTATTCTTTTCTATTTCTCTTTTATACAAGTACTTTTCTTGTAGGATTATACTTTCACATTACCTTTCTTCCTCTTCTGAGTGTAGGACTCCCTTAAGCATCTTTTGTTAGGCTGGTTTTGGGACCATGAATACCCTTAGTTTTTGTTTATCCTTTTGTTTATTTCTCCTTTTCTGAAGGATTACTTGATGGGTATGGTAATCTTGGTTGACAGTCCTCACAACTCTCCCAGGACTTGAAAACCATCATTCCGTGCCCTCCTGGCTTGGAGGATTTTTTCCTATGAAATTTAATGGGGTTGCTCTTAAATGTGACTTGTTTCTCACTTGCAGATTTTTAAATTCTTTATCCTTTACCATTGACAGTTTGACTGTCATAGTGAGGATCTTTTCTGATCATGTCTGTTTGGGTTTCTATAAACATCTTATTCCTGGACACCCATGTTTTCCCCAAGAATAGGGAAGTTCTCAATTATCTCTTTGAATAGGGTTTCTATGCCCTTAGCCTTAATTTCTTCCCCTATGTGGATGATGTGGATGTTTGATATTTTAATGGTGTCCCAAAGATCTTGAACGCATTTTTTTCCTATCTGAATCTGATATTCAAGAGACCTATAATTAAAGTGGAAGGAAAGAATACTGGAGCTTTATCTAGTCTGTTTTTGAAGCTTTCAACTGGATTTGACACATTGAGCTCTTCATTTGAGTTTTCTGATAGTTCTTCACAATCTTTATTCTTTGTTGGATTTCTCATTATCCTGCATTGTCTTCCTAATTTAACTGCTTATATGTATTTTTATGGATTTATTTTTATGGATTTCATCAAGCTTTTAAAAAGTCATTTTTTGAATTTTTTTTTTTAAAGGAGAATTTTTTAATATTTAGTTTTTGGCAGACACAACATCGTTGTATGTGGTGCTGATGATCGAACCCGGGCCGCACGCATGCCAGGAGCGCGTGCTACCGCTTGAGCCACATCCCCAGCCCCATTTTTTGAATTCTTTATCAGGCATTTCATCTACTTCAACATCTTTAAAGTCTTTTACTAGAGCATTTACGACCTTTAGGCATTTTTTCCCATATTTGTTGGTCCCCAGGCAGAAATAAACATTGCATAACCATAATCTCCCTGTAGCTTCTTTGGCTGTATCTAGTGAGTTTGTACATAGTATCATATTGGAGTCAGACTCACTGTCTCTATGGGTTATGGAAGACTGGGGGACATGAGCAGTCGGGCAGGTGTGGTGCAGACAACACTATGCTACTCCTACAATGGGCGTGGTTATCCCTATCAGGTAATGGGGGGTTCCCTCAGGCACTGGTGCTATTAACTCCTTGTCTTTGGTCCTATTAATTCTGGTGCTCCGATAGTAGGGAGAGCCCAGAGCACTCATCCTTTGATTAGACACTGGTGCAAGCCCAGTGCTTCATAGGGGCAAAAAGAAGCATTGGAACCAGAGTTCTTTCCCTGCCTTGTGACAGGCACCTGTGTGTGGTGCTAGGGAGAGGGCTAGCAGGAATTGTGTAATTGCCTTTAGTCCTGGCACCCATGTGAAACCACATGACTGGCCACACCCCTGGTCTTGGAGAACAGATCTCCTTTTCTGGAGGTGGCAGCCTTTGTTCCCTTCTGTTTTACAACACCCATTCCCTACAGTGATATACTCAGGTTTGTGTGAAAGTTACTGAATTTAGCCATTGCAGTGCAATGTTTGTGGGGACCCAGAGATGGAAATGTGCAAGGGTTTCTGTCCTCTTGAACAGTCCAAATTCAGACAGAAGGTCCTGTCTTAACATGGGTTCTGGCTATAGCACCCTGCTTGTTCACTGAGAGTGTCTTTTTTCCAAAGCCAGCCTACTATGCAGATTTTTGGTTTCTTATTTTCTTGGGTCGCTTGCCTGTAAGGGTTTCCAATAGCTAGGACTGCCAATGTATGCACCAACTGAGTTTTCTGGGACTTCCTTTCACCTTTACCTTCGGGAGGATAGGTCCCATTTCCCCCAGCTGTATTGCTTCTCTTACTATGCAGTTATTCCAGGTCTCTGGATTTCCAAGATTTCTACTTTTCTGTTGATTTCCAGTGTTCTCTTGGTTACTCACTTCAGTGTGCAGTTACACACCTGTTGCTTTGGTTCTTCCTTGTGTTAGGTGCCTCTTTTCAGCCATTATGTCATGTCTTCTAAAAGTTTTAGTTATAAGTTTTTATATTTGTATATCAATTGTAGACAAGCTCTTCTAGAAACTTGAATACTTCCAAACTCTTTCTACAAGGCCAGTATTGCTTTGATACCAAAACCAGACAGATATTATAAAGGATTTTTTAGATTTCTCAAACAGATGGAGAGATTCTGAACAAAATGTTAGCCTTCTGAATCTATTTTTTTTTGAGAATTTTAATATTTATTTTTTAGTTTTTGGCAGACACAACATCGTTGTTTGTATGTGGTGCTGAAGATCGAACCTGGGCCGCACGCATGCCAGGCGAGCCTGACAATTTATGAAATGGTGGTTGGTGACAATCCTTGGTGTTCCTTAGCTTGGCCGTCTCATCTTTAGACACCAGATACAAGAGACAATGATGTAATCTTCATCTCACTCTAGGTACACCTATTATTTCAGATGATTGCATCTTGAGATCTTTAACTTGATAACATCTGTAAAGACTTTTCAAATTAGGTCACTTTCACAGGTACCAGGAGTTAGGACTTGGATATCTTTTCTGGAGGCCACTATTCAACCCACTTCATCTATGAATAAAGACTTATTTTCTTCCTGATGTTTATTATTTTCCTCCCTTACTTTACCAGCAAGAACCTACAATATAATTATTGGAGTTTGAGTATCTGTGGAATGAATACCAAAACCCAGCTGATGCTTAATATCTTAGTATTATTCTAGTTGGCAGAGACAATCAATGGTGACTGTACACAGGGTGGGATATAAACAGTGGGGAAACTAGGTCAAAGTAACAAATAGGTGATAGAAAAATGTCATTTTTATAACTGATTTTTCAATTTATACATTTGGCTGATGTAGCTTGAGTATTATTATTACTATTATTCCTTTATAGGGGAATGAAATAAGAGCATATTTGTTGAGAGATTAGAATCAGGTATATTCATAATTTCGCAAAATATACCAATTATAATAATTAGCTACTTTCCTCAGTAACTTGTATGCAATATTTGCTTTTATTCTGGCTGTGTTCTCTTTTGAATCCAGTGGTGTATTTGTTCTGCAGTTATTTAACATGTCCGGGGTTCAGGCTTATTCAGTGTCAGGAATTGAAACAGATACTTATAAGTCTCTAAGTATAGACACAAATAAAATTCATACAATAAGTTAGAAAATATATAATTGAGGAAAGTCACAGAACTGTGTGCTGGAATATAAAACCAAGAACATGGACTTAGACATGGTTATCAGGGCAGTCTTCCTGAGGAAGTGACTTAATGTTCAATGATTGAGAAAAGGTGTTTTCAGACTCAAACTTCATACCACAGCTATACTCATTCAGTTTTACAGATTGTGACGGCTTTTGAGCTTAACAGCAGAGCTAAGTAATTATGACAGATACAACATGTCTACAAAGCCTAAAACCTTCACCATCTGGCCCTTTATAGCAAAATTTGCTGAGTCTTGCTTCAAACCTTTAAGTCTGTTATTTCAGATCACTTTTTATTTCTATTGAAAGATGTAGCCCATCATTGCACCCTCAACACAGAAACTAGCATTATTATTATTTTTTTTAAACAGATTTCACCAAGAAGTTATTTCCAGAAAAGGATGTTTGTGAAAAATATTTGTCTCAATTTCAGACAGTGGAAAAAAATGAAACCAACAATGGGGATACCATTTTCAGAAATGGATTGCAGAACAAGCGTGAATTTGAGAGAAAAGAGGAACATCAGATGGGATGCATTAGTCAAATGATAATCCAAAACCAAATCTCTCTTCCTCTACAACAGAAAATTCATCCTAGAGAGAAACCATATAAATGTAAGGAATGTAAGAAGGCCTTTAGACAACAGTCTTACCTTATTCAACATATGAGAATTCACACTGGTGAGAGACCTTATAAATGCATGGAATGTGGAAAGGCCTTCTGTCGAGTGGGAGACCTTAGAGTACACCAGACAATCCATGCTGGAGAGAGACCCTATGAATGTAAAGTATGTGGGAAGGCCTTTAGACTTCACTATCACCTTACTGAACATCAGAGAATACATTCTGGTGTGAGACCCTATGAGTGTAAGGAATGTGGGAAGACCTTTAGTCGAGTTAGAGACCTCAGAGTACATCAGACAATTCATGCTGGGGAGAAACCCTATGAATGTAAAGAATGTGGGAAGACCTTTAGACTTAATTATCAACTTGGTGAACATCAAAGAATTCACACTGGTGAGAGGCCCTACGAATGTAAGGTTTGTGGAAAGACCTTTAGGGTACAACGACATATCAGTCAACATCAGAAAATCCATACTGGTGTAAAACCCTATAAATGTAATGAATGTGGGAAGGCCTTTAGTCACAGTTCATACCTCGTCCAACATCAGAAAATTCATACTGGTGAGAAACCCTACAAATGTAAGGAATGTGGTAAGTCCTTCAGTTTTTATGCAGAACGTACTCGACATCATAGAATTCATACTGGTGAGAAACCCTATGCATGTAAAGACTGTGGGAAAGCCTTTCGTCTTCGAACAGAACTTACTCGGCATCACAGAACTCATACTGGTGAGAAGCCCTATGAATGTAAAGAATGTGGGAAGGGTTTTATTTGTGGCTACCAACTTACTTTACATCTGAGAACTCATACTGGTAATGTTCCTTATGAATGTAAGGAATGTGGGAAAACCTTCAGTAGCCGCTATCATCTTACTCAACATTACAGAATACATACTGGTGAAAAACCCTTCCTGTGTAAGGAATGTGGGAAAGCCTTTCGTCTTCAAGCAGAGCTTACCCGGCATCTCAGGATTCATACTTGCAAGAAACCTTATGAATGTAAGGAATGTGGGAAGGCTTTTATTCGTAGCAGTCAACTTATTTCACACCAGCGAAATCACGCTAATGAGAATACCTATGAATGTCAAGAATGTGGGAAGATTTGTAGTCGTCGTTACAATCTTATTCAACATTATAAAATTCATACTGGTGAAAAACCCTATGAATGTAAAGAATGTGGAAAGTCCTTTCGTTTTCAGACAGAACTTACTCAACATCACAGAATTCATACTGGTGAAAAACCTTATAAATGCAAAGAATGTGGGAAAGCCTTTATTCGTAGCAATCATCTTACTCAACATTACAGAATTCATACTGGTGAAAAACCTTACGAATGTAAGGAGTGTGGGAAGACCTTTAGTCGTCACTATCGTCTTACTCAACATTACAGAATCCACACTGGTGAGAAACCCTACGTCTGTAGTGAGTGTGGAAATGCTTTTATTTGTAGTTATCAACTTACCTTACATCAAAGAATTCACTCTGGTGAGATTCCATATGTATGTAAGGAGTGCGGGAAGACCTTTAGTCGTCGATACCATCTTACTCAACACTTTAGACTTCATACTGGTGAGAAACCTTATGAGTGTAAGGAATGTGGGAACGCTTTTCGCCTTCAAGCAGAACTTACCCGACACTACGCAGTTCATACTGGAGAGAAACCTTATAAATGTAAGGAGTGTGGGAAGGCCTTTAATGTTAATTCAGAACTTACTCGACATCACAGAATTCACACTGGTGAAAAGCCTTATAAGTGTGAAGAGTGTGGGAAGGCCTTTATTCGTAGTGACCAGCTTACTTTACACCAGAGAAGTCATACTAGTGAGGAAACACTATGCATGATGTAGAGGATACAATGGCTTCTTGAAAATGCCTTTTACATCAAGGATTCGTAATGTATTTTTACATATTAGGGAATATATAGGAATCACTTTTGCTTCATATTTACAAATTATTTTACATGTTGGTTTTTAAAGTTTCAAAACCATAACATCACTCAGTCTTGATTCAGGTTTAGCAGACTGATTATGGCGCAGTGCAGCTCAAGCCATTGAGAACTTTTTCCCCCTCACAAGCTGATGTTGAGCAGTACTTCTGTAAAGTGCAAGAACATTGGTTTACAGGGGGACGGGGAGGAAATGGAAAGGAACACTATAAAAGCTCCATTTTTCTAATTTAATGCCATAAATCATCTGTCAGATTGCTATAAATTTCTAAACACTTGCTCCCACTGTCTGGCCCTTAACTCATTGTAAACCAGAAGCAAACAATTCGTCCACATGGTCCACACTTCTTTTAGAACTAGAACAGAAGATGATTGTTAATGAAATGAGTGTAGGAAGGACTTCAGCCACAGCACATCATTGTTCTAAGTCATAAGTTCACTTCTGCCTGTGCAGAAGTTGGCAAGACTCTTCCCTTCTGTGCCTCAGTTTTAAAATGGTAGTAATAGTATCTACCTAGTAGTATTTTTGTGAGGATGAAATAAAAATGGAAACTTTTAGAAGAGTACTTGAGAAAGCATGTGCTTAATATTACTGTTCTTATTTTGTTATATTTAATTGTAGATGGACACAATACCTTTATTTCTATGTGGTGCTGAGGATTGAACCCAGTGCCTCACAAGTGCTAGGCAAGCACACTGCACTGAGCTATAGCCACAGTCCCTACCATATTATTTTTATCACTAATGGTACCGTTAGTAAATTCACTTGAGAGGAATACTACATGGGTGAACTTAAAAACCACCCATTACCTTTCACTCAGTAAATGTGAATAACCAGATAAAATCCAGTAAAATAGAGTGAACTTCTATTTCCAAAGGCAGAGCTCATCTCTGAAAATAGGAAAAAGAAATCTCTAGATTTCATGAGTGTAAAGATGACAAGAATAAAGCTTTTAAAGAACCAGGAAAGCTATAATGCCTTTTCATGACCCAAAAACAAGATATGCTATAATTTATAATTTCTTCCCATTAATTGGTAAATTAGAAGCCACCAAAAGATTACTGTCCATTCAGAAAAATTAAAGATAGTATAGTGACCCCTGGTGTGTCCTCACCATGTTCATTAGTAATTAATATATAATTTGGTTTGTGTCAATATGATATTTACACGTCTTTGTTGTAATATTTGAATATAAATGGATGTCATGACATGTCAACCTTTCAAGAGTAAAAGCTGCCTTCTACTTAATTACTACATAGCTTCACAACTAAGGAGATTAATAATTCTATAATCTCTAACATTCGGTCTCTTTTTTCTATCGTGGAACAGTTTAAGAGTAGCCCTTTTCCCTAATGTTATCACATTGACTTTTTTCAAAGTTTAGGATAGTTGTTGTGTAGAATATTATAATTTTTTTTCTCATTGTTTTTTTCAAAATGTTTTTAATGTGCTCATTTATCCCCACTATTTCTCACGAATTGAAGTTAGAATTAGAAACTCTGAGGTTCAGATTAAATAATTTGACAAGAATACTTAATAGGTGATATTTGTATTTCAGTTGTAATCCATTAGTTGGCGTACAGTGTCACACCACTACATTGTCCTTCATTGATTCACTTGATGCAGCAGATTGTACTTTCCAAAGATGGCTACACCAGTGGATCCTGTTCTACATGCTAACCTTACAGTGTGATATTGCACTCTCCCGTCAAGAGGTAGGGTCCATATTCTTGCCTTTGAATCTGGGCAGGCAGGCCTGTGTTTGTGGCAGAAGTGACACTACATGAGTTCCAAGACTAACTCATAATAGGCAATATAGTTTC